GGAAAATATAGACTAGATCCATATGCTCAGCTTACAAAGTCGTGAAAGGGTTAAATGTATATAGGCTGTTCATTACCCTTCTTACCCTGCTACCCTGTGGCGCAGTTAGCAGGACTGCTAACCAAAAGATTGGTGGTTTGAGTCCGGGGAAGGGGTGAGCTCCCACCTGTCAGCTCCAGCTTCCCATGCAGAGACATGACAGAAGCCTCCTACAGGATGATAAACATCCGGGCGTTCCCCAGGCAACATCCTTGCAGATAACCAATTCTCTCACACCAGAAGCAACTTGCAGTTTCTCAAGTCACTCCTGACACACACAAATGTATCTAATATATTAGTTTCTTGTATTGTCGAAGGCTTTCATGGCCGGAATCACTGGGTTGTTGTAGGTTTTTTCGGGCTATGAGCCATGTTCTAGAGGCATTCTCTCCTGACGTTTCGCCTGCATCTATGGCAAGCATCCTCAGAGGTAGTGAGGTCCTCACTACCTCTGAGGATGCTTGCCATAAATGCAGGCGAAACGTCAGGAGAGAATGCCTCTAGACCATGGCCATATAGCCCGAAAAAATCTACAACAACCCATATTAATTTCTCATTTTTTTTTGGATATATTTGAAGGTATTGTGTTTTATCTGTAATATAGGGACCTAAAAAAACCTGCCTTATGTGAAGTCAGACTAGTCGTTCATCTTGCCTAGTATTATCAGCTCTGTTTCACTCTCCGGAGTCTTGTTTTCACCAAGCTGAACATGCCCATGTCTTCTAGGTCACATCAAGTACAATTCAGTGCCAATATCAGTTTGCTTGAATCCCATTACCATGTTTAGCTGTAGCCAAGTACTCCCTGCTGAACATGAAAAGAAGAATTTTAGAACATCAAGTCAATGCATCAGGAACAGTGGAGATATTGAGTTTTGCTTTGACTTAGATGAGAAAACTGGGGGGCAGCTTATGGGTTGCTTACGGTCTCCAAATTTGAACTCTTCTGCCCTCAAGTTGCCACTTGCCTCTAATAGAAGCCACCAAGAATGGCAAATCGTGTTTTGAAGCTTAAACCCCTACAGAGTGAAATCTGGTTGCAGGTTTTGCTTGAAAATAGGAAAATTATAGAGTACAGAATGGATGAAAATGGCCCAATTACATGCTCTTGATTTAGGTATAATATAATTGATGGATGTTATCCTTGAAGTGATTGGTTTGACCACGAGGGGGCTGGGGGTGGCAATGGCTTACAGGGAGCTCTGGCGTGGGCTGGTCCATGAGGTCATGAAGAGTTGTAAGGGACTGAATGAATAAACAACAAAAAATTGGAAGTTGTGTAACTAAATATGGCGGAGGGGGGGGTCGTGCTCAACTTTTCAATGATTGCAACAGATAGTTGTTAGCTTTATTTATTTTTCAAAGACTTTGCATTTACAATGGATTGAGCCATTAGAATAGAATAGAATAACTTTATTGTCATTGTACATTGTACAACGAAATTAAATGCCATCCCCAATCACATATATGTACAAATTACAAAACAAAGCACCCATCCTTCCACATTCTGATCACTGTGGCACAACCCCTCATGCCACATCAATGTGAAACCACAGAAGTTCACATATTTTAATATGACTGAAATAAAACTGAAATTCAGGTATGAAGGAAGCCATTAGCAGCAGCCTGGCAACCAAGATCCGCGTAGTTAAAGCAATGGTATTCCCCGTAGTATCCTATGGATGTGAGAGCTGGACCATAGGGAAGGCTGAGCAAAGGAAGATAGATGCTTTTGAACTGCTGGAGGAAAGTTCTGAGAGTGCCTTGAACCGCCAGAAGACCCAACCAGTCCATACTCCAGGAAATAAAGCCCAACTGTTCATTGGAGGGAAGGATATTAGTGGCAAAGATAAAGTACTTTGTCCACATCATGAGAAGACAGGAAAGCCTGGAGAAAATTGATGCTGGGGAAAATGGAAGGAAAAAGGAAGAGGGGCCGAGCAAGGGCATGATGGATGGATGGGATCCTTGAAGTGACTGGCTTGACCTTGAAGGAGCTGGGGGTGGTGACAGACGACAGGGAGCTCTGGCGTGGGCTGGTCCATGAGGTCACAAAAGTGAAGTGACGGAACGAATAAACAACAAATTAGCAGCAGCATAAATAATGGCCTTTTGTGTTTTAATTAGGTTCTGTGCTTGCAGATTAATTATGTAAATAGAATTATCTGATTGACAGGTAGTCTGCATACAAAGCTTTGAACCTGGATGTGTGGATGCTAGAAGTTCATTGGGCAGCTGGGAAATAATTGTTTAAGGTGTGCTTTTGGTAGGAACTGTTGAGTTTCTGGTCCTGCTTCGAAACGAAATATCTCATTTTTAGAACAAACATTGAAATAATAAACATTTCACATTTTCAGTATTGTTGAATGCACTTCCCAGTTATATAGTTGCAGTGACAGCTTTTCAATCTTGCAACTGCCCTTGCTTGCCCAGTTGCCAAGTTCCAGCGCTTGAAGCTGTACTATTATCAGGTCATGTCTACATTTGGCAAAGCTTTGTAGACACAACATCATTAACTGTGCTTCATATTTTTGCAATATTTACTCCCCTTCCACACTTTTTTCCAAGATAGTAAATCATCATTTCTTTAATCTCCTCCCGACTGCATGAAAAACAGGAATTTATGTAACAGGCACTTGCTGCAAACCTTTTCCTGTTTGGAACTTTTGTTGTTGTTGGCAGAATTAGGGGATGGCTTCGCTACTCCAAGAGTGACCTTGAATGTCCTTAGTGAGAGAACACTAGATTGTAACTTTCTGATGACTAAGGACGTCTGTAGCTTCTGTAAAATACTAAACACTTCCATGTGTGGATGGATTGAAAGTTCTGGAGGAGCGCGTGTGGGTAGGAGATAACGATTGTTTTCATCCTAAACACTAAACCGTATAGCTGCACTAAGGTTGGCTATATGATGTATACTAAACAATATTTTGAAACAGGGCTATTTGCTTTTTTTAATCAGCATGTTTTACAGAACAGCTTTCTTGTGCTTACATACTTGCTCGTAAAGCAAGTGTTCTCCACCTCACTCGAGAAGAAGAACACAGAGAAAGCAATATTTCCCTCTCTTGATTTTAATGTAGTCTGATATACTAAACAATTTTCTCGGCTTATTTCCAATATCAGGAGGGAGACGGGTAGGAAGAAGCAGTGTGGGTGTCAACAGAATGACCCTTTGCCCCGTGTGCTTAGTTTTATGTGTGATGTAGAAACCCAGCCCCTTTCCTTGATATACACTTGCTTGTTAAGAAAGTGCTTGTTTATTAAGATAGACATCCTCATCTAGTTCAGCTCTTAAACAGAATATTTGGTGATTGCAACAGAACAGATTATGGGACTTCATAGCAGCAAATACTATCTGCATAGGTGGTAGAAGTGAGTTGGCAGGATTTTAAGTGACCAGGTTATACCTTTATCTGGAACATCTCCAGGCTCTCAAGTTGTACAGAAACCTGCGTATACTCATTTTTTGAAGTAAGTGCAAAAGATATTTCCAAATGAGGGTTACTATTTAAAGATGGGTATAGAATCATAGAGTTGGAAGAGACCTTGTGGGCCATCCAGTCCAACCTCCTGCCAGGAAGCGAGATGAAGAACTGCTGGTGACTTAATTATTTCAGCATCCCAGAATTGAGCGGAAACAATGAAAGACTTTCTTTAGTAGATTTACAAGTTAATGATTGGATATATCCACTTTTGTGATTTATTGGCACTCTCAGATTGCTTATAAGATACAAGTAAAGGAAATGTATATTTTTTATACAATTAGCAAAGCTGGGTTTGTAGATCACCAATCACCCAATGGATCTATTTTAGGAGGCACATCCAGGATTTTTCTCCTGAGAGTCTGCAACCAACTTGACTTGTTATCCAGTCTGCTTTCTAAGAGTAGCTTTGCACATTCACCCTTGCTTTTAGCATTTCATCTAGCTGCCACATGTGGTCCGCGACCTCACCGTTACTACACTGTTGCAACAAGAGCAATTGGTCTCGCAAAACCCTCTTATCGTGTTGAGGCTAACTAAATATTAGGCCTGGGCAATCCATGATTCTAAATGGTTCTAAAGTACTTATAAAATTAAAGTTCTGGTGGTGACAATTTCAGAACTCTAACAAAACTTTCAAAATTGATTTATTATTTCATTTTTGGTGATTTTTATGATAAAACCAATTAGGAACTGCCATTTATGATGATATTTTGAGAGATTTTTGGAGTTCTGAAATTTTCACTACCAGAACTTTAGTTTTGTAAGTACTTTAGAACCATTTAGAACCATGCATTGCCCAGGCCTACAATATGGTTTTCGGTGGGAGAGCAGATGGTGACTACTGGATGGCATATATTCTGTATCAGAAACTAGAGCTGGTATATCTAATGCAGTTTTCTGAATCAGCACCCCAGATAACCAAAACAAAGCTAAAGTTGACCAAAAACGGTTTCGTGACCCTTTTGGTACTAATGTGGGAGAGTGCTCCTTGGTCAAAGTCGTTCCTGGTCCAATAAAAATAAAAGTTGGGAACCACTGTTCTTAAGAAATGTATTGGGTTGCATGGTTTAAACGTCTACGTTACCTTTGAGAAGCTTGCCAGGGAGCAGAATCCATAGAGTCCACCAGCTTTTATTTAAAGACGGTTGTTCCTGTGACTTGAAACCCATAGGTATTTAAGTCCTAAAGATCTTAAGAAGCATTCATGATGGTAACCCAGTCTGTTTCTATACCTATTAATTGGTTTTTATACCTATTAATTGGCAACTGGCCGCAGTAGTCCTTTTTCACTTTGCTCAAAACAACATTAAACACCTTGAATTTTATATGGGACAACTCAATATTGCAAAGGAAAATAAGATACTCTCTCTAGATATCATGCATTTAGCTGAATAATTTATCTACTGAAAATTAATGGCAAGATGTGGGAGAATCCGTATTTTTCTTACACCTTGTTTCTTTTTATGTTTTTAGAACTCTATCCGTCACAACCTCTCATTACACAGCAAATTTATTCGAGTTCAGAATGAAGGAACAGGGAAAAGCTCTTGGTGGATGCTGAACCCAGAGGGAGGCAAGAGTGGGAAGTCTCCCAGGAGAAGGGCTGCTTCCATGGACAACAGCAGCAAGTTTGCAAAAAGCAGGGGAAGGGCTGCGAAGAAAAAAGCGACTCTTCAGGCAAGTCAAGACGGAAATGGTGACAGTTCAGGCACCCAGTTTTCAAAATGGCCTGCAAGTCCCAACTCCCACAGCAATGATGATTTTGATAACTGGGGTACATTTAGGCCTAGAGCCAGTTCTAATGCAAGTACAATTAGTGGGAGGCTTTCTCCAATCCTGCCGGAACAAGATGACCTCGGAGAAGAAGATGTACACTCCATGGTGTACCCTCCATCAGCAACCAAAATGGCTTCAACTCTGCCTAGCCTTTCTGAAATAAGCAGTTCAGAAAACATGGAGAACCTCTTGGATAACCTCAATCTTTTATCCCCCAACACATCTTTGACGGGATCAACTCAGTCTCCACCAACTACCATGATGCAACAATCTCCCGGTTATTCATATGCTTCGCCAAGCACGAGTATAAATTCACCAAACTCAGACTACAGGAAATACACATATGCCCAGCCCAGCATGAATTCTTTGCCACAGATAACAATGCAAACAATTCAAGACAGCAAATCAAGCTATGGGCCCATTAGTCAATATGGTCCCTGCCCTGTAGGACTTTTGAAGGAACTGCTGACTTCTGATTCACCTCCTCACAATGATATCTTGACATCTGTAGATACTCGTGTTTCCCAGCCAAGTAGCCAAGTCCTTGGACAAAATGTCTTAATGGCCAATAACTCCACAATTTCGCCGTATGGCAACCAGCAGCCCCATAACAAAATCATTGCCTCCACCAGTGCTCATCCCCACCAAGGACTTGTCCAGTCAACCTCAGCAGTCAACAGCCACACTTTGTCGCTCACGCTGAGCACCGTGTCTCATGCATCAAGTTTAAACCGAGTGCCCCCAGCGAAAACCTCCGCACAAGTGCCTATGAGCCACCCAATGCAGATGCACAGCCACAACCCCTACACCACTGTGAACAGCTGCAACGGTTATGGGAGAGTAGGGATTGTCTCTTTCCACCAGGAGAAGCTCCCTAGTGACTTGGATGATATGTTGATTGAACGATTGGACTGTGATATGGAGTCAATAATTCGTAATGAGCTCATGGTCGAGGAAACATTGGATTTTAACTTTGACGGTGTGTTGCCTAACCAGAGTTTGTCACATGGGGTCAAAACAACAACACACAGTTGGGTGTCAGGATAAGGATGAAAGGTGAGTTTCCCATGTTTTCTGGTTTCAATCAGTGGGGAAGCAGTGATTCTCCAGACATTTCTGCATTACTCTTTCCATCATTCTTCATCATTGGCTAGGTGGACTAGGATTGATGGGAAATGAAGTCCAGATATGCCAGAAAGAGGGCCTTATTTTGTGTCTTAGATGTTGTATGATAGAGAAGAATTCTGCAAATGGCATTTCTTCCACAGTAATGTTTGGGCTACAGGAAAAAGCTGTCCTTTGATAAAACATTGATATCCTTTCTTTTACAAAAATAAAGAAAAAAGAGCTCCTCTCATTGTTGATTTTCTTAGGCATTTACTATTATTACTAGAGCCCCCGGTGGCGCAGTGGCTTAAACCCCTGTGCTGGCAGGACTGAAGACCGACAAGTTGCAGGTTCGAATCCGGGGAGAGGCGGATGAGCTCCCTCTATCAGCTCCAGCTCCTCATGCGGGGACATGAGAGAAGCCTCCCACAAGGATGATAAAAACATCAAAAATCATCCAGGCGTCCCCTGGGCAACGTCCTTGCAGACGGCCAATTCTCTCAGACCAGAAGCGACTTGCAGTTTCTCAAGTCGCTCCTGACACGACAAAAAACAAACCAACAACTATTACTACTACTACTACTACTACTACTAATAATAATAATAATAATAATAATAATAAAACAGCCAGCAGAGTGTCTGCTGTGGACTCATCTTGTTGTGTTTCTAATAGTAGTAGTAGTAATAATAATAATAATAATAATAATAATAATAATAATAATAAACTTTATTTATACCCTGCCACCATCTCCCCCAACGGGGACTCGGGGCGGCTTACATGAGGCCAAGCCCTGGCAGCAAATTACAATTAAGTGAAATACAACAAAATAAAAACCGAAACGCAAGCAACAACACAGTAAAATACAAAAACATGCTGAATACAATAAGCAATGAACACAAAACATAAGAATGCAATGAACAATCACAATAACAGTGAATGGGCCGCATGTACAATAAAATGATTAAAAACTCAGGGTGAGATAAACTAAGGGTGAGCAGATTATTTGCAAGGGAGAGCTCATAGGGAAACGGGGTAGTAAACAGGGTTTCGTACATATGGGAGGTGTACTCCAAGGACAAAAGCGTTGAGGGGAGCAATAGCATAAGATTGTATAGCTACTCTCCAAAAGTGCAACGGCAGAGCCAGGTCTTAAGATTTTTTTAAAAGCTTTCTAAGGTAGGGGCTTTCCTGATCTCTTCGGGCAATGAGTTCCAGAGTCGGGGGGCCACAAAGGAGAAGGCTCTCTCCCTTGTTTTATTGCTATATGCATAACATTCCATCTTACATTCACCATGTTTGAGTTTGCTTTGTGTCATATTATATTTTCTGTTTTTCTAGGGTACACTTGAAAATACTTAAGACATCTCTGACCACAAGACCCGAGCAAGGGAGTCCAAAGATGTCCTTCAGCGCTTTTTTGCCATTTCTTTTGTAATATTTTTGTTTTTCTTGTCGGACTTGGTGCCAGATAGATGCTTTTCCTGCACAGGAAGTTTGCCAGTTACTTGCAGGTTGTTTTTTGCTGTAAGGAATGTGTTGTTGGAAGTGTCTTAATTTGAAAGTGCCAAACTCACTACAATGCCATAGAAAAGCAGAACATACTTGCACTTCATGTTGTGCAGTGACTGTGTACAGTATAAACTTCAAAAGTAAAATGGATTCTTTAGGAATATGTCATATAAAAAAAAAACCTTAAAATACTCTGGCAGTCTTTTATACCTTCAGTTGCTTTTGATCCAGGCTTACTTTTGATCTACTCATCTCACACACAGCTGTGTACAGCTCTGTTAGTTGCCCGAAGTGTATTAAAACTACTGTACCTTATGTGTAAGATCATGTCATTAAAATATGATCAAACCAAAGTTGTTGGCAATTCAGATTTTCACATCTGAGAAAAGGCTGAAAGCTTTGCCACCATTATTTTTCATCATGTGGTGGATTTACCGTGGGGTTGACTTCCAGATTGACTGATAAAATTTTGCTGATGTAAAATTTTGTAATAGCCATATACCTATTTTTTTACATCTCTACTTTGTTATAGAAGCTCCTTAATATTTACCGAATCCAAGATAGCTAGCAAAATTTATAGTACTTTGTATACAATATTTTAATAAGCAGAAAGGGAGAGATTTATACTAGCACCCTGTAAGATTTGTAAAAAGAAGGTTTCTCCGTGTAAAGAACATTTTTTTTTTCTGGCACAAGAGTTATATGTAATTATATACATGTACAGATAAATTCTTTTACTATATTAACACTGACTGTCCCCAAATGTTAAGTCTTGTTAAAATGTTTTGTATGTACAGGTCTTCGTATTTATATCGTGGAAGTTTCATGACTTTTTTTTACCCTGGGACAATAATTTCACAGCTTAATATTATTATTAATAATAATAATACATTCAACTTCATTTATTCTTAACTGTAGGGTTTCTCATTCTCCCTTTATATTAATTGAAAATCTTAAAAAGCTAGGACCAGGTTTAAACTATATTATGGTGTAATAATATACTTTGTAGGAATGAACCTTGGCCACAAACAGGGAAGTCTTTATTATATGATTATCATAATTATATAGTTCTATAATATATATTAATAGTTTTAGTTGATTCTTAATGGCATATTCCTTCAATAAGTCATGTTGCTTGACAAAAGCCCTAATTATCTACAGTCAACCCACCACGTTTGCAGGAGTTAAGAGTTGCAGAACCCTTGGGAAAGTGAAAAACTGCAAATGAAAACATTGCTTAAAAAAAAAACCTAAGGGAAAACCTCTGTAGGTATTTCTAGAACAGTAGTTCCCAACCTGTGGTCCATGGACCACCAGTGGTCCGCAAGTACTAAAATATGGTCCACGACCTCACCTTTACTACACCGTTGGAATGAGTGTGACTGCTCTCACAAAACCGCATTGAGTCGCCTGTTTGGGCTGAAAAATGCGGTATAGAAATAAAGCAAATAAATAAAACCCTCTTATAGTGCCGAGGCAATGGGAATGTTGGGAGGGGAGAGGCTGACTACCCACGAAAGGTGCAACACGAAGCCTTCTGTCTGCTGCTTCTCCTCCCCCCTCTCCCTATGTGGTGCCTGGAAGCAGGGGTGCCTGGGAGGGCACATACATCCTGCTCTTCCCTTGCTCCGCCCGCGAGATGAAGGTGCCCGGGCTACATGGTCCACCGCCTGCACCAGGCATAGCAGGGCTGCATGGCCATAATTTCCTCCCTCCAGGGCTCCATGTCAATACGTGCACAGACCCCTCGCTGTGAGGTGATGGGGGAGGGAAGGAGGGAAGGGGCACTGGGGTTGAAGGAACGATAGCAGTGATTACCCCAAATAACCAAATCAAATCGAAACTTGACCAAAAATTGATTTGTAACCCTTTTGGTACTAATGTTAGAGAGTGCTTCCTGGTCAAGTGGTCCCTGGTCAAATCAAGGTTGCGAACCACTGTTCTAGATGCTGCAGTGTGACTGTATGGTCAGTTTCCATAGGAAGCTGACTGTAGAATCACACAGGCAGACCGAGAGACGTATTGTGTCTAGGAATTTCTAGGTCCTCCAGCGTGAGGAAGGAACTGGAGGAAGTTGACCATATAATTGCACTGGAAGACCTAGACATTCCTACAGATAACATTTTAATCAAATCCGTGAATAATCAAATCTGCAAACGTTAAGCCTGCAAATGTGGAGGGCAAACTATATTCCTTTGGAAGAGGTTTATATGAGCAAGCTCACATGTAGATAAATAACTTTGTGTACTTCTGAGTTTGTGAGCTATATTATTAGTTGCTCATTGGCCTACTGAGTTCATTGGGCATCATTCCTCTTCTCAGTCCTCTCCTTCCATTTTAGCTGAGCAATTGCAAAATTTTCCCAGGATTGTGTAATTTTTATGCTCAGATGTTTTGGAAGAACAAAGAGACATCTGTTTGTTACCTTGCGTCTCTTCTTTTTCCTCTTTGGGATGTTCTGGTGACTTAACTTACTTCCAACCAGTTTGATGAACCAGGAGTCCTGACTTCTAGGTAGGTTGTGGACAAGGAGGAGATTTAAAAGAGTTAGATATGGCTATAGCAGCCTAAAAGTTTGACATCCTTATGCTCAGTTATAGTTTCATGACAGTATATTCTGAGGTTCAGTTTTATTTTCATTACCCCTAGCACCTCAGTGATAAGAGAAGAGCCCTCAAAATACATTAGACATTCAGAATCGAATTATTCTGCTGTGCAATCCTGGAAGGCTTCCTTAGGGAAAATGTGTTTAAATGATCCCCTGTGTTTATAAATCGGAGAAAACTGTGTATAGATAGGATTCTGATATCATCTGTCCAGATGTGTAATAACCCCCATCTCCTTTGAAACCCCCCCCCAACTTATGTGACCTGGGTCTAGTGCACTGCTTCTTAAGCTGTGAGTCCTAGTCCCAAATAGGGTCCCCTTAGCTCAATGTTGGGGTCCTGAAAAATTGGCAATGGTAAAAGTTTTCTGAATGCCACCTAGTGGCTGTTTTAGACATTTACACATATTAGTAGTGCAGTGTTTACAGTGGACTCTGCAGAAAGTGTTTGAGCTGTTCTTCATAAAAAGGAAAATCAGCTTGTTTAGCAAGCCTTGCAAATGCTGTTTTTTATCATCAGTAAATGTTTGATTTGTATACCTGTTGTATATACCCATGTACCTGAGGTCACATAAAATTTTCTCAGTCCAAACAGGGTCCCGAATGGGAAAATAGCTCAGGTCTAGTTCACTGATACACTTATAGGGCAGCAAGGAGGCTTATTCTTGGAGGCACTAGGAAAACTGGAAATTTAATGAAAGATGGTATTATGAAACAAAAAAAAATCTGTGGCAGATGATAAAATGTGCTTTTGCACAGATCTTTATTTCTCTAGTTCCGTCATTTTGGGGGAAAACAATGTAAATTATGTCTTTGTGAAGTGTGTGGATGGTTTTAACCAAGCAGCCTGGTTTGGGAGCTTTCCTCTCCTCTCTCTGCCTTGTGAAAAGTATATTCTATAATAGAACCGTTCCTGTATAATGTATTGTTTCTGTTGTATCTTGTATTAATGGTTGCGTTAATGAGACCTCTGCTTTGATAAACTGACAAGTTGTGTATAGTGGTAAGCTAATGCTGTGCTTTTGAATGCTGACAATTCAACAGAAGTTCCTTTTAAAAAGAGACAAATCGATGACTAAAGTGGACCAGTTCTTTAACTGTCTTGCAGTGCAATTCTGTTCACTTGCTTGGATGTAATGTCCATTGTACTCAGTGGGGCTTACTCTTTAGTAAGTGTGTTTTAGGATTGCAATCTTAAGTTTGCACTTGTTCAAATTGGTGTTATGATTCTTTTTTTTTTGTAAGTTCACATGGATTTTTCAGGCTTGTTAATTTATAATTTTAAACAAGGTATTTTTTAAAATGTAACTACTAAAAGTAATGTTGTTCATCCAAGCAAAGAAATACAATTCTGCATTAAACTCCTCAGTGGACAATAGCTCCTTAATTTTGTACCTACCCACCGTTGGATGAAGCGGCGCTACTGAGAGGGCTACAAATACTTCATTTGTGCGAATTGTAGGAACACAATAATGCTACTGCTGCACACTGCAGATGATCATTTGGACATTGGTGGAAAAGTGCCTGATGTTTTTCCAGACATAAAAAATAATCTTTTGTATAAAGCCATAAATGTAAATACACTGCTTTAAAGGTGTTGTCTTTCATATGATTATTTGTATGCTGATCAAAGTTTTGTTTATTTGTTTCTATTTGTAATCCTTCACATAATTATGCAGATGGCTTTACTGTGCTTCTAACTTGTCTTCACAGTGATCTTGTGCAGTAGGTTGGCTTGTTTTTTGTATGGTGCCTTGGGCATTTTTATTGGAAAGGTGTCCTAATATATTTTATAAATAAATAGATGAATATAATGCGTCCCATTTTATGTATGATTAGCTCGGGTGTCTGGCATTGCTTGGGTTATTTGAAAAAGTCAAGTTTTTTATTTTACAATTAAAAAAACTACAACTCACATCATTCCTACCTACAACTCCCCCCAAAATTATTCCAATTTGGGCATATCAGGTGTGTGTGCTGAGTTTGGTCCAGATCCATCATTGTTTGGGTTCACATTGCTCTCTGGATGTAAGTGAACTACAACTCCTATAAATCTCTCCAAAGACCTCCAATATGTTTCGTTGGTCATGAGGGTTCTGTGTGCCAATTTAGTGCCAGGTCCATCATTGGTGAGTTCAGAGTGCTCTTTGATTGCAGATGAACTATACATCCCAGTATCTACAACTCCTATAAATCAAGGTGCATTTCCCAAATCTCTCCAATATTTTTGTGTTGATCATGGGGGCTGTGTGTACCAAATGTGGTCCAGGGCCATTGTCGGGGGGAGGGGGGTCCACAGTGCTCTGACTTGATGCAGAGTGAACTACAACATCCATCATGTGGAGTCAGTCCCCCAAAACCCCTCAGTATGTTCAGTTGCTGATCAATTCCTCTCTGTGTGCTGTGTGCCATAGGAAAGGATAGGATAGGGTTAAGGGAGAGGCAGTGGGCAGCGTCATGCAAATAACACACCAGTGGGGAGAGTCAGAAACACTGGGATGTGGAGGAAACACATAAAATCTAGGATGAAATTGTGTCTGTAGGAAAGCTTTCACTTGGGTGGTGGGCAGTATGATGTTTGTGGAGGACAGCCTTCACATGGATGGTGGGCAGTATGATGTTTGTGGAGGACAGCCTTCACTTAGGTGGTGGGCAGTATGATGTTTGTGGAGGACAGCCTTCACTTGGGTGGTGGGCAGTATGGTGTTTGTGGAGGACAACCTTCACATGGGTGGTGGGCAGTATGATGTTTGTGAAAGACAACCTTCACTTGGATGATGGGCAGTATGGTGTTTGGAGAAGACATTGGCAGGGGTTGGGAGGCATGCTCATGGTGCTTGCTGTAACCTGCAATGTCCTTGGGGGAAATGCTTTTGATGGCTCCTCAGCACTGAGGGTTAGAGCTGGTTGTGGAGGCGGGAGGTTGTCTGTGTAAGTGGACACCTCTGCCATATACACACACATACACAATGTTTACTTTTATTATGTGTATAAGATGAAGGAACACTAAGAATGAGTAATTTGCTAAAGGCTGTCTAAAAAGGCAATGTCTGAGTAGATTTCAGGCCAAATGTCTTGGCTTCACCTCCAGTCTTGGGATGGTTTGTGTACTTTTCTCTAGTGCTGGGGTCCTCAAACTTTTTAAACAGAGGGCCCCAGGTCACAGTCCCGCAAACTGTTGGAGGGCCAGATTATAATTTGGGGAAAAAAATGAATTCCTATGCACACTGCACATATCTTATTTGTAGTGCAAAAACACTTTAAAACAATACAATAATTAAAATGAAGAACAATTTTAACAAATATAAACTTATTAGTATTTTAATGGGAAGT